CTCTGGTTCCTAGGAAGCTCATTATCACATCATATTCTCAAACAGAATAATTAACACTTGTCATTGGCTTTTCTTCCATCTCAACTTTCAAATTTTATTTTTTTTGTTAATTGTGTTGTTTACATCTCCATTATATGTTTTCTCCATTTCCTCCCCATATACGGACTCACAGACACACAGACACACACACACACACACACACACACACACACGGCATGCAAATTCTATTCTTCTGTTCTAATTTTTCTTCAAAATTTCTTCTAAATACATCCAATAAATGTGGAAAGGGAGTTACCGCCCATATATGCAGAACTTGTAAAGCGCAGGATCTCTAAACTGAAGATCTTTTCTTAACAGGTGTGAGGTGACTTCTAAAAGAAGCTTCACCTGTGGACTTTCAGAATTCAAGGAACACATATCTCCCTAGAGAATGTCATACTTCCATCAGCTATTTCAAGCTCAAAAGTTACGCGGTAGTCCAAAAGTCAGGGCAGGATGATGTCAGCGTGGACCTATGGTCTTTCTAATCTAAATCAGAAGTAGGTCCTCCCTTATGCACAGAAGATGCATCCAAGACCCTCATGGATGCCTGAAACCGCAGAGTACTGGACCCTCTGTATACTACATTTTTTATTATACGTGTATACCTATGATGAAGTTTAACTTACAAATTAGGCACAGTAAGGGATGACCAACAATCACCAATAATAAAATAGAATAATTACACTGTAATAAAGCTTTTGTGAATGTGGTCTCGCTCTTTCTTTCAAAATAGCTTGTGTTGTACTCACCCTTCTTGTGATGATGTGAGGTGATGAAATGCCTACGTAATGGGATGACGTGAGGCAAGTGACATCGGTGCTGTGACACAGCGTTAGGCTACCAGTGACCTTTAGATGATTCATCAGGGGGATCATCTTCCTGACGAGGGTCGATTGCAGGTAACCGAGACCATAGAAAGCAAGACTGTGGATAAGGGGGAGGTACTGAACTAGCCCCAAACCATAACTGAAAAAATTGACTTCTCTCCAACTTTATTACACTAAAAAAACTGCTCCTCATCTGTCCTCCACTTGTTCTTACTCATTGAAAGGCAAATGAGTTAAAGCTGAACACAGCCAGCCATCACTCCCAGGAAAAACGAAATCCCGCCATTTGATAGCTGCACAGAGAATCCCTTTACGTACTTTACGGAACCTCTATACGAATTCCTGACAGCTCAGTGGGCCACAGACCCTGCCAGATTTTTGAGCTACATCTGCAGTATCTTTTCTATTCAGGCAGCTGGTATAAAGTGGGGAAATTCATTAACATGCTAATGATGTCCTATTTAAAATTCTAGCCCTGATTATTCTGTGATTAAATCTCTCCCCTTGACGTCTGCTTCCTTTATATCTGAGTTATAGTGCGAAATCAACAATATTAATAAAGTACAATACAGATTATCAATTTATACACAAGGGATGGAAAAATTTATATAAATCTCAAGGTTGTCTTTTTGCTGAAAAGCAGATATAGCAAACTAAAAAAGTTACTTTTTTTTTTTAATCTCAGCCTCCCTTAAAAAAAAAAATGAAATCCACAATAATTAAAGGTTTATAGTTAATCTCCACAAGTAATCAGGGGTTGAAAGCATTTCATTCATTTCACTGTACTTAAAGTTGCTCAGAATTCAAACGTGTTCTCCTTAAGTCTTAAGAAGAGCTGATACAGGTTAAAACACACCCCCTTCTTGTCTCTTCACACACTGTGTATCACTGTGACAAAGTCAATGGATTCAGTGATGATTTCTGTCTCCCTCTGCCCTTGATTATTCTGGCACATTTCAGGACTTTTTCATCATATTGTTCTGTCTGCTCACACCCCAATATGAATATCCCACTCAGACAACTCAAGCATCTTCCACGAAAGACAATCAAACCTACCTCTGTTCTCACTAAATTAGAAAATGAATTTGAAGAATTAAAAAAGAAGAAGAAGAAGATCCAAGGTCTGGGTCTGTAATTCAAAGTAGAGGAGTAAAGGAATAATATGGAAATAAAGGAATGTCTCATTTTAACATCTGGCCCCATTAAATGAACAAATACTTATGGTATATTTACTATTTTCAAAGACACCATGCTGGATACTGTGACAAAACAAAGGAAACATAAGGACAGTGCTTTTCTTTGATTTCAATCGAGCCAGCCACAGAAAATGTAATAATATTGTAAATGATCAGCAAAACACTTCCCATCGATAAGAGTTTTCTGTGTGAGAGAGACTGCTAATTGCTCCCCCAAACTGCAAATCTCTCCTTCTGCTATAGAACCAGAACCCCTGGCTGGACTTGGACATACATGTGGCTGGGTCAGCCATCTTGGACCAAATGTTACCTGTCCAGGGGTACAGATGAACTAAATAGAAGAGCCTGGGTCCCTGACCATCAGAGAGTTACTTATCCATGGTTGCCACGTTCTGCAACAACCATGCTAGAAACCAAAATCTGGTTTATTAAAGAATTCTACATATTGCTTATTTCTTAAATAGTCTTATTTTAAAACATTTTATCTAAGGATAACAAGAATCAGCTCATAAGACATACAAAGGAATAGTATGCATACGTGTGTATTTGCTCTACATTTAAAGCTCTACATTTAGAGCTCCCTCTAAATCTTTAATTCTCAAAAGCCAACAAATGACAAACTATGGACTTTGGCCTAGTTTTATTGCATTTCAATAAATAAAAAGCTTCAATCTACTAAGGAATTCGTTATTTATTTATTTATTTGTTTGTTTATTTATTTATCTCCCATTACTCTCATCAACCCAAGATTATTAATTTGGTTGACCTAATGCCAAGTCACCTCAAATTGGTTAAGAGTTACCTTCAGCCTAAAGCAGGGGGAAAAGGGTAGCTGATCCAGCAAAATCTAAGTCTAAAACATAAAGAACTCTTTCACTATCTGCAGCTTAGAATCATTGATGGTAACAATCTCTCATTCCATTTGTTTATGTTTTTTTATTCATCATTTTGAAGATACTCAGTAAAGTGACAAGGATGAGATTCAAAAAATATGGATGAGATTCAAAAAGTACTACATGGCTCATTTTTTCTTTTTAAGAGATATATATGGCTTTCAAGAGCTCAACTGTTCAAATGAAAATAGTGCTTGACTAAATTTGTCCGAATTTGTTCACATCTTCTTTATTCTCGGGTACAATAGATTCCCCCATATTGTGGCAAAATTATGGAGTGACAACATGAGAAATTTCATAGTTTTTATTGTTTAGACATTTAAAAAGTCTATAGCTAAAATTCATTTAAAATATCCAATGATCATTCCTATCATGACTTCATGAAGCACAGCATCACATCTTAGGAAAAAGTGTTGTTAATCCCTCAGTACCCTAGTTATATAGTCAGACTCAAAGGTACAGTCTCTACATATCTGGCAGAAAAGAAGGCTTGGCCTACAGAAGTGGAGAAAGAAAGATAAGAAGCTCTCAGTTGTTTAGCCAGGTTAGGCCTGCCCAGTGGGAAGAAGACACCATAACAACTGAGTATCCTATCTGTGATTCAAATAACTGAAACCTATTTCTACAACTGAGTAAGCCTTTCAAACACAATTTATTCACAGTGAAAAGATACACCTAATTTCTGCTAACTAATTTCATACTTCCTTACCTGGTTTTAAATACTAATCTTCATTTACTTCAATCTGTGGAGTATTTTCATTTTTTTTTTAAAGATTTTATTTATTTATTTGAGAGAGAGAGAATGAGAGATAGAGAGCAAGAGAGGGAAGTGGGTCAGAGGGAGAAGCAGGCTCCCTGCTGAGCAGGGAGCCCGATGCGGGACTCGATCCCGGGACTCCAGGATCATGACCTGAGCCGAAGGCAGTCGCTTAACCAACTGAGCCACCCAGGCGCCCTGTGGAGTATTTTCAAATAGCCGTATTTCAAATGTGGCTACCTAACATTCCCATTTTTTCCTTATTTCTTTCTAAGTAAGAATGCTTTGTAAATATAGTTACTTATTAGTAGACAGGTCTTTCATTTTCCTAGTAAACATTCATTTAGGGACCATGATATACTATATACGACCTCTAGCCTCCAGCAGCTTCTACTTCCTAGAAGAAATGCAAGAGTGCACATGCACACACACCTCAAAATCTTTGTAAGTTACCTCATTTAATCTGTACCGCTTAATCAGCCTATGAGCTGGATATTCTTCTTCTCATTTTACCAGTAAAAAAACAGGTTCTAGCATCTAACATATTTTAAATCTGCATTTATTTCTCATGATTTCATTCTTCTGATTAGAAACTGAAACACTGTAAATTCTTTACATTTTTTTGAAAGAAATAAGTTTTTACTCTATCAATTCAGACTGAACAAGCATCTTCTAAGACTGTCCTCCAGGGAGCAAACCTCAAGGTGACCTTAGTTACTCTTAACGACTGGAAAAGGAAAAGAACACAAGAGTACAGTAACTGCTCCGACAGGCAGAGACTTCAGTTAAGACAGCACTGGCCTCTTCTACACCATTCCTCCGGAGAAAGAAGCTCTCAGGAAAAACTCACACACCGAAGAGCCACTTCATGGTCTTTATTCAGTTTTCTGAGTCAGCAGGCTCTTGTCTGTGATTGTGCAAGCCAGAAGACTGAGCCAAGGAACAAAAGGAACATAATTGTCAAACAGAGAAAATTCTCAAGACCTGTGCCAAGGGAGAGATTGCTCTAAATAATCACAAGGCCATTAGCAAATCCAGGGCAGAGGAGGGGGAGAAAAGACAGAAAAAGGAAAGATGTCACATGTGAATAGCAAAATAAAAGCTGACAAGTAATTCTACCCCATTTGCCAAGGCTCCTGCCAAAAAAAATCCTCCAGGAAAAGTGTCATGTGCTCCAGGATGCCTTTCACATCGATGCTCACATGAGACACAGAACATCCTGCCTGGCCACCTAGTACAATCAACAGCATGAATAGTTCGCCAACCAACAGTTGTGACTACTTACCGTAGGCAGCTTCCCCCTGGTCCAGCTCCCTTCTCAGTCGGCTGTAATCTTCCTTAACACTGCCCAGCTTTTGGACATTCCTGGAACTCAGCACCCGAAGCTTGTCCAGGAGTCCCTCCAGCCCTTCCCTTTCTGCTGTTAATGATCTAATCTCCTCTGTGAGCTCCTTGGCTGTAGAGAAATGGCTTCCTGCAAGAGAGAAGGAGGGAAAACAAGTTTGACAGCATCCCCACACATGGAAGATTTAGCAACAGCTAATGTGCACCAACAGTATGGAGAAAGAGGGCTGAGCTCTGCAACTGCATCCAATTGCATGAATAGCCTTCCATGGAGGAATATGGAAAAACACTGACTGTCTCCTTCAACTGGGAAAACCACCAGTCTCTTTATCACTTTATTTTTGTTAGGTCTGTTTTAAAGCTTCCATTAGCTAATTTGTGTCCTTGTGAAACACAATGAAACAAAGAAGTCCCAGTGAAACCCAGGGAAACCACATGGTATGTGGTATGACTCCATTCAAATATCCAAATGTCAAACAGTTGAAATATTATAGTAGAGTGGAAAGGGACTAGCCATTGGAGTCAGACTGGACCTAAATTCAAATCCTAGTCCTCCTGTTACTCAACCTGCATGACCTTGAGCAAAGAAATTAACATACGTAATTTCAGGGCAAACTTCTCATAAAATATGATTGTACTAACACCTGCATCAGGTGGCTTCAAGAGTAAACGTGAAATTCTGTAAAGCACTAAGCAAAATATATCATGCATTGAATCTAGCAAGGTTGCAATTATATTTCTAAATATCAACAGTAAGTAAGTAGAAGATGATTTTTTTTAAATACCATTTACAAGATATTTTAAAGCTCAAAATACTTAGGGATAAATGTAAAGAAACATGTGCAAGACCTCCACACAGAAAACCATTTTAAAAACTTCTGAGAGAAATTTAAAAAGACTTAAGCAATCAGAAAGACAGAATACTATATATATATACCTATATTGGAAAATCGAATATTTTTAACATTTCTATCTCCTCAAATTCATCTATTCATTCGATACAATTCCAATCAATATCTCATGATGGTCTTTTGTAGAAACTGACAAGCTTATTCTAAAATATAAAATAAAATGCACAAGGTCTAGATCAGCCAAAAAAAAAAAAATCCTTGTAAGGTAGAATGAAGAGAATATATATTACTTGATTTCAAATTAATGCTGAAGCTACAGATCAAGACAGTATGGCACTGGCATATAGATATATAGATAAAACAGATCAGTGGAATAGAATAGACAGTCCAGGAGTAGACCACACTCACACAGTCAATTGATTTTCAACCAAAGTGCCAAAGTAAGTCAATAAGGAAAAGAGAGTACAACTGACCCTTGAGCACCACAGGTTTGAACTGTGCGTGTCCATGTGTATGTGGATTTTTTTTAATAAATACAGTACAGTATTGTGAATATATTTTCTCTTCCTTATGATTTTCTTAATAACATTTTCTTTTCCTTCCTTTACTTTGTTGTAAGAATACAGTAGGTAACACACATAACATACAAAATATGTGTTAATCAACTATTTATGTTATTAGTAAGGCTTCTGGTCAACAGTAGGCTACTAGCAGTTCCATTTTGGGGAAGTCAAAAGTTAAACTCAGATTTTTGACTGTGTGGGGGGATGGCACCCTTAACTCCCACATTGTTCATGGGTCAACTATATTTTCAACACATGGTAATTGAACAACTAGCTACTGAAATGGGGAAACATTAGCTTTATCCATACTTCAAACCATACACAAAATTTAATTAGAGATGGATCACAGACTTACATGTAGCAGCAAAAACTATAAAGCTGATAGAATAAAGTATAGAATACTTTTCTAACTTTGGAATAAGCAAAACTTTGATTAGGACCCAAAAAACACTAACTACAAAAAAAAGAGAGAGAGATAAATGGACTTCATCACAATTAAAAACCTCTACTCATCAAAAATACCACTAAGAAAATGAAAAGGCATGCCACAGACTGGGAGAAAATATTCATAATATGTATTATCTGACAAAGGAGTCGAATCCTACACCCAATAATTAAAACACCAATGACCCCACTGAAAAATGGGCAACTGATTTAACAGGCATTTTACAGTGTAAGATATGCAAATGGCTGGTGACCATATGAAACCGTGTCGGTGGTTATTAGTTACCAGAAAAATACAAATTAAAGTCATAGAGACTCCACTACAAAACCATTCAGATGGCTCAAATGAACCAGACCAAAGCTGTCTAGCTGGCAAGGATGCGGAGCTGTGGAGCTCTTGTACGTAATGGGAGTGTCAATGGCACAACCACCTGAGAAGACTTCTGTCTGTTTCTCATAAAGTTAAATACACACCTGTGTGTGGACCCAAAAAATCTACCTCCAGGTATTTACCCAGGAGAAATGAAAACATGTAATCCAAAAATAGTTGTACTCGAATGTTCATAGTGGTAGCCCAAATAAAACAACCTAAATGTCCACCAAAGGGAGAAAAGCAGAAACAGGGTCCCATCTACACAATGGAAGAATATTCAGCCATAGAAAGGCACCAGCTCTTCATATACACAATGACATGGGGGAATCTCAAAAAAAACAAACAAAAAAACATGAATCCATTGATACTAAGTTCTGGCACAGGCAAAACGGATCCATGGTGAAATATATCAGAATGGAGGCTGTCTGGGGAAGGGGGGTGATGACTGGGAAAGGGCACAAGGGTGATGTTTCTGGAGGAATGAAAATATCTTGATAGAGTTGCAGACAGTAGGTATCAAAATTCATACAACTGGGCACTAAAGACCTGTGCATTTCACTGAATATAAATCATACCTCAATAAAAAAAGGAAAAAATATATTAGGGAAAATTTTAATATGAAAATAACATCATAAATTAATAAGCATATCACATTAGTGAGTGCTCCATAAATAATAGTTATTGGGGTGTTTTGGGTTTTTTAATATTTTATTTATTTCTTTGAGAGAGAGAGCATGAGTGGGGTAAGGGGCATAGGGAGAAGCAGACTCCCTGCTGAGCAGGGAGCCTGATGGGACTCGATCCCAGGACTCTGGGATCATGACCGGAGCCGAATGCAGACATTTAACCAACTGAGCCACCCAGGAACCCAATAATAGTTATTGTTATCAGGGGGCTCCATGATGTTTCCACAATAACAGTTATGAACATTTTCTCCTCTACCTTACCACAACCCTAAGAGGGAAGTTATGCCCTATGTTATCTATTCTGAGATGCACCCTTTTTCCCCCCATGTTAACATCTCTGAGATTGCCATCAGCCAGGAAGTAGTCAGGATGAAGCTGTTACTACATGATTGTCATTCTCAGTGGCCTGGTGGACCATCTGCAAGGCCCTGGCGTTTCAAAGTAAAAACCATTTCAGGATCATTGGAGACCTGGCTATTGTCTGAAAACCATCTATCGTAATGGATTTATAACATCAGGAAAGCACCATCATTTAAAACTTGAAGAACCGTGTTGCAGCTTGGCAGAAGACCCTACGGAAAACAGCAGTTCAGTCTTGGAGGGAAAAAAAAAGTTGCATCACCAACAGTTTCACTGATGCAGAGGGTGATAATGGGTGAAAAACGTGAGCTCCGACTACTTTGAGGCACAATGTGTTTCAGAACACTCAGACTCCGAATATGAAGATGTTTTAGGAAAACCTCGAGTGATTAAGTTTCCTTTCAAAAAGGATTTTTCAAAAGCCCAAATACATCAAAGAGGACTATTTCAATAACTATAAAATAAAAACTCTAAGCCACAGAAAGCATTATATCATTGTTTAATTGACAGTGATTTTTCTTTCTTCGTAGTGTATAAAATAATGTGCATTTTATGTTCACTGAAATACATGTTATCTCTGCTTTATAGTGGCGAAAACTGAAACCTAGAGAAAAAACTGTCTTGCTGAGGTTACATAGCAATAAAATGGAAGGCAGGTTTCCAACTCAAACATAACTCCGGAATCCTTCTTAGGTTCTAAACTATGCTATTTACTGCTTTATTATTATTATTTAAAAGGCAGATTTCAACCCGATATAAATGGGAGAAACAGGACAAAATGCTTTCCCACTTTAAGGGCATTCTGACACCCAGCACTTATCATTTCTGTCACTGACATCCATAGTTTCCAACTCCATGACTGGATAAATATCTTTTGAGACCCTATTTATTGTCTATCACTTAAGTGGGCAAATACAGGCGAGAACAGAGCACCACCCTGCTCTCCAGGAAGTCACCATTAAATAAAGAGGAGAAGATGTATTCTAAGAAATGGGCAAAGATGCTCTAGGAGAGCTCAGAGAAGAAAGATTGTTCTAGAAGGGGAGGCAGAAGCAGGTTTCACGAGGAAAGAATATAAGGTTTCCAAAACAAGAAACAGAAACCTGGTTAAAGAACAAAGACCTTGTCTTCCATGGGTGGCAGGAGGTGTGTGGCCAAGGTGGAGACTAGGCCCACAAAGAAGGTGGATCCAAACAGCTGAGCGACCAAGATGCCAAGCTGATGGGCTTGACCCATTTAGGAAAAACAAAGTCCAGATAAGGAGAGCAGCCTGGACTTCCACAAGCTTTGAGCTATAAACAGCAACACAACTGAATTGTTTCCTGGATCCGTGGTTTCTTTCTCGAACAATGACCAAGTTAGGGCTGCTGTGGACAGAGCCCCCATGGAGGGCCACTAAGAACCTCAAGTTTGATGGGTACAGATTTCCCATTTGGGAAGATGAAAAAAGTTCTGGAGGTGGATGGTGGTGATGGTTGCATAGAAATGTGAATATACTTAATGCCACTGAGTTGTACACTTAAAAATGGTTAAAAGGGCAAATTTTATGTGAATGTAGATTTCATCATGATAAAAAGATGTCCTTTAAAACAAAACAAAACAAAAAAAGAACCTCAAGGGACGTGTCCCGTGCCCAAGGTGGTTTGGGGAAGACCAGCCCAGAGGTGTGACTGCCTCTAGACAGGCTAGCCACAGGCACAAGGTGGTGCCTTCAAATGTCCCTTCCCCGCCTGGGCTCAGGGAGTGCCAACCTTTCTGCTGGACCATATATTCAAGCAAGAGAGGTGACCAAAAGTGAGGTAGGCGCCAACTGTGTCCCCAGGGACACCAGGCAAAATACACCACAGTGTGCA